AGGGGGCAGGAGGGCATGGAGGGATGGACACAGGGAAGAGGTGACTATCAGGAGGAAGTGGGAGGGGAGCTGTTGCATTGGGGTAAATTGGTAGTCAATGTCATGAGACAACGTGTTGGTGAACTGCTGTATGGAAAGTGAATTTGTTCTGTAAACTTTCACCCACATCACAATAATAATTAATTAATTAATTATCTATATGAGACCAAACAGACAACAGTTACTCTAAGCGTAAAGGAGAAAGGGCAGTGGGAGTAAGTTAATGGGCAGGGAACAACTTGAATGGAAAGGATGAGGATGTTGACACAATGTCACTGAAGCTTCTGTGTGCTGAAACTGTTGCATGGGAACTTGCTTTGCTGTGTGTACTTTCAAAAAATAATGGTGACAAATAAAAAATGTATAAATCCATACGTCATAGGGGGGCAGGCACTGGTCTTCCCATAAGAGAAACTCTTTGAAGCAGAATATTAAAGGGCAGAACCATGAGGGGACATAGAGTTTATGTTCATGGTGGTAGAATCATTTGGAAAATGAAAACATCAAGGGATGGACAACATGAAAATGGTATCAGTGTTAATGAAATGTACATGTGGAGATGGGTGAATTGGTGAAGGTTTTCTTGTATGTATTTTCACTGCAATTTTAAAAAAAGGGGGGGGGGAGTGAAGAGAGCAATACCCAATTTGAACAGCTGTACTGGCTGGACATTGTGGAAGGGCACCCCCATTCAAACGGCCATCACTCACATGGCAGACATAATAGCTGTGTCACTTCTAACACAACTTTCCTGCAGGAGGCGATAGAGTACCCTGTTCTAAGAAAATCAGTGTATTATGCTAGTCTTCCAACAGAGGGCAGTAAAGAGTCAGAGGAAGAGGTCCATAGGCGGCGGCTGCTGGGTTTCACTCACCTTGGCTGGGTTCTCCAGGTCAAGCAGTTTTCCCAAGGTCTTACTGTAAACCATGCCCACATTGTTCACTGAACGAGAGGAAACATGGCTTTTGTCACTGTGACAGTCCCAAGGAGACAGGATGAGATCAGAGTGGGGGTGACCACGAGAGGGCCTGGGGTGAGCGTGGGGGTAGCTGCGGGCCGGCTTGCCCAAGCAGGTGAGGACATACCCAGTACTCCTATCTCCAGGCCCTTCAGTCCTTCCTCAATGGCTCCGTAGATCTCCAAGCCCCCGGTGAAGTCAGTCTGCATGACTCTCGTGAGGACGCCATGAAGCCGCTCTGAGAAGGGGAAGGGGGGAGCCAGGTCCTTAGCTGGAGTCTAGTCCTGCCTCTGTCTCCAGGCCCAGCTCCAGCCCAGTCTCTGTTCAGCCCAGCACTGGCTGCTGCCCCAGCCCCCTCCAGCCCAGCCCCAACTCCTGCCCCAGCCCCAGCCCCATCCAGCCCAGCCCCAATTCCTGCCCCAGCCCCAACTCCTGCCCAGCCCCTCCCAACTGGTAGCCCAGCCCCCACTGCTGCCCCTACCCCAGCCCCTCCAGCCCAGCCCCCACTGCTACCCCAGTCCCTGCCCCAGCACTTTACTAGCCCAAGACCCAAGATCTCACCTATCTCCTTTGCTTCCTGTTCCAACTTATGAAGGTTTCGACTGATGAGGACAATGTTCAGCCCTCTCTTGGCCAGCTACAGAGGGATTGGTGGATTAATGCCTGCATGTAACACTTCCCGTATGCTGATTGTGCTTACATAGTGTTGCGGGCACTATACATTCAGAAGTGAGCAGAAGAGACGCAAAAGCCTGCCCTCAGGGAGCCTGCGTGCTGGAGAAAAAGTATCCCAGGCAGAGGGAGAAGCAGTGCAAAGGCCACGGTGGCATCTGGGAGGGCTACGTGGGGTCTAAGGGTACGATGATTCAAATGGCCAATTTTATATGAGCCCAACAAGGTGATGGGAGCCAGGTCATAGGGCCTCCATGCTCAATTTCAGATCAGTTTCAACTCAGTGATTCCAGCCCTTCCCTACCCCTGGGTCCTAGTATCATCCCCTCCCACCCACCCTCCACTCAGCAGCCAGAGGGATCTTTCTAAAGCACAAAACCTGCCCCTCCCTCTCTCCTGCGCCAAACCTGCCATGGATCCCCAGTGGCCTTGGGACAGCATCATAGTCTCACTCCGGCCCATGAAGCCCTGCATAGTCAGGCCTGAGCCTCTGGCCCCCACTCCTCTATGGAAAGTCTGACTGCAGCAGATGGTCCATCAGGCCCCACAAGCACCGCTTTCTGGCCTCTGGGGCTTTGACACATCGTCCCTTGCGCCTCAAATGCCCTTCCTGTTGAAATTGAGGAGTTAGCAAACATTTGTGGAACTGGCTGACCTTCTCAGCTTGCTGTCCTGGGGTGACCAGGGGACTGAACATTCATCAGGCACCCGAGTGGTTGAGACTGTATAATGGTGTGAAGCAAATCCTAACCCCTATGCCTGTGGTTGCTAACCAGAAGGCTGGCGGTTCAAACCCACCAGCCACTCCTCGGAAGGAAGATGGGGCAATTTACTTCCGTAGTGATACTGCCTCGGAAACCCCAGGAGGGGTTGCTATGAGTCATGTCCGACTGGATGGCACATAACAACAACACAACAACGTGCCTGTGGTTATAATGTCACGCTTGGGAATGGACTGTCTTTGTCATGTGTGAAAACAGCCGGATGGGGCCGAGGTGTCTGACCTCTTCTAACTTCACAAGGGGGTAGGAGAATCAAGACCAACAGCCCGAGGCTGATTCCTGTGAAGCCGAGGGTCAGACATACCTCCTCTAGCCAAACTTTTTACCAACTTTGACCCTAGCCATCTCTCGTACAGCACTCTCTAGTTCTCTGCTGGGTTCAATACTTCACTGCAAGGTTCATACAGAACTCAGACCATACTCACAATTATGGCGTTTATTAGGGAAGTGTTTTTGTTGTTATGTGCCATCGAGTCGGCCCCAACTCATAGCGACCCCTCCTTGGGTTTCCAAGGCACTATCACTACAGAAGTAGATTGCCCAACCTTCCTTCCGAGGAGTGGCCGGTGGGTTTGAACTGCCAGCATTCTGGTTAGCAGTCAAGTGCTTTAGGCACTACACTACCAGAGCTCCCATAAGGGAAGTAACGGGTTACAATTCAGGACCAGAAACGACCCAGGATACGGTTCTTGGGTGAGGACATCTATTTCTCAGCCATGCCCACAAGCTCCTGGGTCTAGGAAGTTCTCTGCACAAGGGGCCACGGATCCAAAGGAGACATCTTGCCCCCATTTCTTCTCGATGGTAGTGACATTCCCTCTCCCCCCTTTCTGCCTCTGGGTTGGCTCATTTTAAGCCTAGTGAGGGACGGGAAAACTGACCAATCCCTTTGTTAGGATTCCATACACCTTATTTGCATGGTCCTACCCCCACAAGGTTGCCATGAACCTTATCTGCATTATTAGCAAGCTGTCCAATCCCCTTGGTGGGCCATAAGCACCTCATTTGCATAGCCCCACCCAGTCATTTGGTGGAAGTCACAAAGACTATGGCTAGAAGGGCCGTACTAATTCACTGCCCCGCTTTGTTTATGATGACACAGTATTAGTGTAAAGTGTGTCTTAAGTCAATCTCTTAAAACAGAAGAGATTAAACAAGTGATGTTAGCATGATTATAGTTGCAAAATCAAAATCTTGGAGTCTTACATCCAATCTATCCAAAAATCTTATCAGGACTGCCTTCAAATTAAACTCAGAATTTAACTCCCCACACCTCGACTGCCACTACCAAGGTCAAAGCCACTGCCATTTCATACTTGGATTTGGCAAGAGCCTCTTAACTGGTGCAGTGCAGGGCTCCTTTGCCCTTGGTGGTACAGTGGTTAAGCCCTCAGCTGCTAACTGAAGGTCAGCAGTTCAAACCCACCAGCCACCCCTTTTGAGAAAAATATGGCAATCTGCTTCCACACAGAATACAGCCTTGGAAACTGTGATGGTTATGTTTGTGTGTCAACTTGGCTAGGCCTGGTTGAGTGGCTGGGCAGCTGGTGGTAGTTATTCCCCATGAGGAGACTGGCAATCAACTCCATGGTGGGATCCACCACAAGCAGCTGAGTAGCTGCCTTTGGGATGTGGTCTGCTACCTGTATATTAGGAGAAGCCTTGGGAATGGTCTCTAGCCTATGGCACGCTTGGACCCTGCATGTAGCCATGTCTTTGTTCAGCAGCCTGCCATGCTCTGCCGACCTTGGGACTTACAATCGACTTAAGTTAATGGCCTGCCGTGTGGTTTGGTAACATTGGGACTGTGCCTTTTGACTTGTCAACCTTGGGGCTTCTCAGCCTCAGCAGCCAGCAGCTCTTTGATTGAAGAAATGCCTCTAGCTCCAGTGGACCGGAAGCAGAAGGCAGAGCTGGACCCCAAAGTTGAGGGGCTTTCATCCAGGCCCTAGAGCCTGGCACTTTGAACTTGGACTTAAAGCCTCCAAATTGTAAGAATAAACTCCTGTTTGTTAAGACCATTCCATTTGTGGTATATTCCTGTCAGAGTGGCACTAGGGAACCAGGATAGAAATCCTATGGGGCAATTCCACTCTGTCCTTTAGGGGTGCTGTGAGTTGGAATCAACTCAACAGCAAATGCTTTGTTTTTTACCATTCCAGAGTCCCTAGATGGCACAAACGTTAAGCACTCAAATACTAACCGAAAGGTTGGGTCTTCGAACCCATCCAGAGATGCCTCAGAAGACAGGCTTTCCAAAGAAAGGGTCATGGCTTTGAAAACCTTATGCTCTGTGTACATGGGGCCTCCCCAAGGGCAGCTGAGGACAACCACAACATTTTGACCTTATGGGTTTGGTTTACTCAGCCTATTCACACCTCTCTCCCCAACTAGAACATAAGCTCCCAGAGGGCAAGGTCTTTTTTGTTGTTGTTGTTTTTAATTGGTTTTGTTCACGGCTGCACCCCCAGCTCCTGGAACCATTATAAGCAAAATAATCAAACCAGTTGCCATAGACTTGATTCCAGTTCTGTTCTCTGCATTATAGGGTTTCCATGGCTGTGACCATTTAACAATCACCAGGACTTTCTTCCCAGGTAAATCACTAACCTTTCAGTTGCGTCTGAACTTTCAACCTTTGGCCAGTAGCCCAGCTCTTAACCTTTCGTACAGCCCAGGGACCATCCTAAAAACCCAATCATCGACTCAATTATGACTCACAGTGTCTCTAGACAACAGAGTAGTACTACCCCCTACAGTTTCCAAGCCTCATCTTGCTCCCGCAGTGAGTTCGAACTGCTGAATGCTTTAACCACTGCATCACCAGAACCTCATCACAGATGAGGGACCATCCTAGGTGACCAGGACACACATTTGGAATGACTGGGAAGGATATGAAGAAGGCAGCAGGCCAGTGTAAGCACCTGAGCCCAGCCTGGGAAGCAGAGGGAAGGCTTCCTGGAGGAGGGGACGTCTCAGGGAGCCAAACAGACAGCAAACAAATTTCTCAATCTAGTGGGGTGGCTGACAAGCAGACAGAGCCAAGAAGGTTTATCTACTGGCCCGGTCCAAAGTCAAGCTTACCTCTTGGGCGTAGGCCTTGCCAATGCCGTCGGTGGCACCTGTCACAACTGGAGAGATAAGAGCAGGGGGGGTGGGAGTCAGGGTGGCCTCCTCTCCTGGAGACCTGCTCAAGGGCGTCTCCAGCTTGCCCAGGGCTTTGCCAGGCTTAACCTCAGCTCGTCCCAGCTCCTGCCCTAGCCAGCTCCTACTCCCTTTCCCCATTCCCTGGTCCTTCTGGAGCCTTTTCGGGGTCCCAGATCCCTCCTCACACCTGTCGCCTTCATCGCTCATCTGCCTGGGTCTCCCACAGCTTGTTCCACTCACCTGTTCAGGTCCAGGTTCGGAGGCTTCAGGCTTACCTGGCCCAAGTCTCCATCCTTCACGCCCTTGCTTCCCGGAGTCTCTCCCCGCCCCTGCCCAAACGGGTGACCCCCGTCTTTTACCTGTCCTTGTTCCTGCGCCCCCACCCTTTACCCGCGGGGTGCGGAGCCCTCACCTGCCCAGGCTCCGTGCGCCCGAAGCCAACGGGCGTCCCGGCGGACCGAGGGCAGCAGGTAGACGTAGACGGCGCAGCCTGTCCCCCACACCGCCCGCAGTAGCAGCCACATGGCGGTGAGGGCGCCCAGCGCGCTCAGTGCGTCCCAACACATCCCCATCGCAGCCGCCTCTGGCGCGCAAGAGCCAGGCCTGCAAACAGGAAGGCCCGCTTTGAAGAACCTACTCTGCCCTCGGGGGTTACTAAGAGTGGGAACTGAGTGAGTTGCCCGCAGTGGGTTGGGTTTGGCTTGGTTTCCATTCCACCAGAAGGAGGAGAGCCCTAACTGCGGCTGCACTTTAACCCTAGCCCCAGCCCGGGACTGCAGCTAAACCCGGAGCCTCGTCCATTTGCCGGAGTTCGGGCCCCACAGAGCTAATCCGGTGGGACTGTGACCAAGGCCGCCTGCAGACCCGGTCACCGTCCAGGTCCACTCTCTCCCCAGGGAGCCCTGCAGGTGTGGGCCTAACTTGTCAGAAGCGCAGTGGTTCAAAGTGCTTGGCCGCTAACCCAAAGATCGCCTGTTGGAACACAGTAGTCGCCCTGTGGGTGGGGATGTGGCAGCCTGCTTGCATGAAGAGTACAGCCTTGGAAACACAGTGGAGCAGTTCTACTCTGTCCTATAGGGCCTTGGTGGGCGACAGTGGGCTTGGTTTTGGTTTTATTGAGGAGGGCACTTTGACAATACACAGAGCAAATGTGAAAACTCCACCTCTAGACTTTGCACTTTGGGCGAAGTAAAAGCCACATCCCTCAAGACCTTGCCTATCACCTCTCTTTATAAATTGTATTGCTCAAGCAAACTCCAGATGATAGAAGATAAAATTTGAATTTACTAAGTGATAGGTAAATAGTTAGACCCTGGGTAGTGTGTGCTCTGCTGCTAACTAAAAGGTTGCAGGTTCGAGTCCATCTGGGGGTGCCCTGAAGGAAAGACCGAGTGATTTAAGTCCAGATAATTAGTCATTGGGGAGCTCTGGTAACACAGTGGCTAAGGCACTTGACTGCTAACCAGAAGGCTGGCGGTTCAAACCCACCAGCCACTCCTCAGAAGGAAGGATGGGCAATCTACTTCCGTAGTGATACCGCCTCGGAAACCCAAGGAGGGGTCGCTATGAGTCAGGTCTGACTCAAGGGCACATAACAACAACAACAACAACAACAACAAGTCATTGAAAACCTGTGGAGCTGACTGTTCCAGTTACCTGCTGCCGCTCTGACAGGAATACACAGCAAATGGGATAGCCTTAAACAGGAGTTTACTCCTATTTTTTTAAGCCATCCCATTTGTGGTATATTCTTGTCAGAGTGGCACTAGGGAACCAGAATGAGTGGGCAGAGAGCTGTTACATTGTGGGGATTGCAATCAATGTCATGAAACAAAATGTGTATGAACTGTTGAATGGAAAACAAATTTGCTCTGTGAACTCTCATCCAAATCACAATAAAAAAAGAAAAGCTGTGAATCACAGGTTCTGTAGGGGCACTATGAGTCTGAATCAGTAAATAATATAAATGTTGGTGTCCTAGGAAGGAAGACACTGCTTAGGGGACACTGAGCTTCTGTTAAGGGTGATGGAAAAACTCGGGTACGATTAATGGTGTTGGTTGAATAACATGATGAGCATAATTAATGTTGATAGTAAAATTTTCTTTTGTAATGTCTGTGTACCATTCCTGGGGGTCATCCATTCATTGGAGAGATGAGGAAAGAGACTCTGGTCACTCAAATTTGCCAAATCACTTTTGCCTAGCAATGACACGCTTCTGCCCACAGGAGCCCTGGTGACGCAGAAATTAAGCGCTTGGCCGCTAACTGAAATGTTGGCCGGTTGAACCCAACAGCCACTTCGCTGGAGAAAGATGTAGCTGAATGGGACCATAAAGATTTACAGCCTTGGAAACTCTCGGAGGTCTACTCTGTCCTCTAGGGGCACTGTGAGTCGTAATCAACTCGATGGCAGTGGGTACGACTGCCTTCTGGCCACATTCCATGGGTAATAACTAGTCATTGGTCTCACCCGGGTGCATCAGCCTTCTGGTTAGCAGTCAAGTGTCTTAGCCACTATGCTACCAGAGTGCCTGCCTGGCAGCAAAAGAGTGGAAACTTTTGATTGGCTGGTCACCCTTGCGCGCCTGTGTTCCAAAAGCCTATCACTTACTTGCAGGTGATGAGCCTATCACTTACATTGCTTCTGGGAATGTAATATGGGGCAGCCGCTATGGAAAGGTTTGGCAATTCCTCAGAAAGTTAAACATAGAATTACCATAAAAAACCAAAACCCTTGCAAGCAAGTAGATTCTGACTCCAGTGCCCCTAAAGGACAGAGTAGAACTGCTCCATAGTGTTTCATAGCCTGCTATCTTTACAGAAGAGGACTGCCTCATCTTTCTCCCTCGGAGTGGCTGGTAGCTTTGAACAGCTGACCTTTTGGTTAGCAGTCAGTTCTTTAATCACTGCACCCCCAAGGCTCCTAGAATTGCCATATAATCTGTCAGTTCCACGCCCTAGCTAGCTAGCCCCCAAAGAATTGAAAGCGAGGACAACGGATACTGGCATCAAAGTGTTCATTGAAGCTCTATTTACAATAACCAAAACAGGAAGCCACCACCAGTGAGGTTAGGACAGGAAGTTTATTACTCACGCATGGTTGGACACTTGGGACAACTAAGCAGAACACAGGATGGTCCTAAGGGCAAGATCAAAGTGGGCTGGGTGGGTTAAGCTTTGCTTGTTGTTAGGAGGCAGGGCTAGGGTGAAAGTGCCTAGGCCCTGCGTGATTTGAAATTTCTGCTTATGCCACAGGATGGCGGGCATGGGTGGGCTTTCTTGTTGGGCTGGTTGGATGGAGAGCAAAGGAAGTGGGGACTGGTGGGGACATGAGAGCTGTCAGCAGTCAACCATCAAACGTGGAGGCTTCCTCTTTATTGTACTTGTAATGGGACCACTGGGCTGAAGGATCTGTCCCAGAATTCCCTTTCTTGCATGTTTCCACTGAGGGTGAGGGTTTTGTTATCTAGTTATCGATTACAGAAATACCACAGGGGGGCACTTTATCAGAGATTTATTTTTCTGACAGTTTCGGAGGCTGGAAGTCTGAATTCAGGCCGCCAGCTCCAGGAGGAGCCTTTCTCCCTGTCAGCTCTCGGGGAAGATCCTTTTTCCCTGGTCCCCCTGGTGATCTCCATGTGGCGTGGCATGTGTCTTCCCCCCTCTCCACTTGCTCCCTTGCTTGTTTAATCTCTTTTATATCTCACAAGAGATTGACTTAAGACACGCCCTATGCAAATCCTGTGCATTAACATAACAGAGAAAACACCAAAATCAGTTATAACTACAGGTATAATCTGACTCACAGCACCCCTAGAGGACAGAGTAGAACTGCACCATAAGGTTTCCTAGCTATAAATCTTTATTGGAGCAGACTGCCCCATCTTCCTTCCGAGGAGTGGCTGGTGGGTTTGAACGACTGACTTTTTGGTTAGCAGCCAAGTGCTAAGCCACTGTGCCACTGTACCTGTGGCACCACAGGTATGCTAAAATAAATAAATAAATAAAAAACAAACTCACTGCCATAGAGTCGATTCGACTCATAGCGACCCGTCCTTGGGTTTCTGAGATGGTATCTCTAGGAAGTAGATTGCCCAATTTCCTTCTGAGTGGGTTTGAACCGACAGCCTTCTGGTTAGCAGTCAAATGCCTGAGGTAGTACACCACCTTTACTGTGATTTGGGTGAAAGTTTACAGAGAAAATCCACTTTCCATATAGCAGCTCACATACACTGTGTCTCATGACATTGACTACAACTTACTACAATGCAACAGCTCCCCTCCCACTTCCTCCCCATAGTTACTTCTTCCTTGTGTCCTTCCCTCCCATGCACTCATGCCCCTTCAGCTGTCTCCCCGTGCATACACAGCCCTTCTATTCTCCGATGATTGATCTCTCCAAGGAATGTATCTACCTAATGTAAATGTTCCGCTCATATGTCTGTCTTTTGTTTGGCTGGAAGCCACAGGAGTGGGTGGGTTCAATTCCAGACCTGAGGGGCAGCTAGGGGCCATATAGTCTCAGGGGTTCCTCCAGGCTCTATCAGACCAGCAAACCTAGTCCCCCCGCCCCCTTTTTTTTTTTGCTCCAAATGATTTTGAGTTTTGTTCCACATTGTTCTCCCTCTCTCTATCCAGAATCTCCTACATAGATCCCCTTCCAAGTGGTTGACAGTGGTAGCTGGGCACTATCTAGTTCTTCTGGTCTCATCGTTGTATAGGCTGGAGATCAGATTGTGTACCAGTCACTAGGACTAATTGCTTCCATGGATTTTTGGTTTTCTTCATTCTTCTTTGCTCTGGACAAGGAGAGACCAATCGTTGCATCTAGATGGCAGCTTGCAAGCTTTTAAGATCACAGTCGCTACTAGACAAGTTCGTTCTATTCACTCCACTCAGGAGGAATTTAATAATAGGAACTCCCACCTGGGACCAGTTGAAGCAGACTCAGCTAATTGATGAAGACATAGACTGACAGGGGGCCAGGGTCTTCTAGTCCAGCCCCCGGCAGGGGACCTGAGGCCATATGCACAGGTGTGGGTAAAATGGCCTGGGGGTGGGGAAGAGACTTTCTTGGGACTCCTGGACACCGGAGCCCAATGTACAGTCATCCCAAAGCCTGTCAATGAAATGTTGAAGGGGCCTAAGGTTAGACTAGGGGGATATGGGGATGCAACAGTTGATGGGACTAAAGTGATAGTTTGGATGAGAGGTGGAAGATTTAAACAGATGTTGTATGAAGTAGTTGCATCTCCTTTACCTGAATGTATTATCGGTATGGATATTATGTCTAATTGGAAAAATCTCCCTCTACCTGGTATTGTAAAACTGAAGGCCTGTAAGTGTGCCCTTAGGCCAGTATTGATTGACTATGCTAAATGGGAACCATTGGAATTGCTTGAGCCCACTCAGGTTGTTAACTTGAAACAATATAGGATACCTGGTGGACAGAAGGAAATTAGTGCTTTGATTAAAGACATGTTGTTGAAGGCCGGAGTGTTGGTGCCAACAAACTCTCTGTATAACAGCCCTATATGGCCTGTGAGAAAGGCAGATGGCTCATGGAGACT